CGTGCGTGCGTGCGTGCGTGCGTGCGTGCGTGCGTGCGTGCGTGCGTGCGTGCGTGCGTGCGTGCGTGTTGTGCGTGCGTGCGTGTAAAAGAGATTATTGGACGCCTAAGATTTTGTTTGCTGAATATTATTTATGTTTCTTTCTGTTGTTTAGTATAATATTTTACTAGTAATTCATTATTATAAAGTATATTTACCAGTAGCTTCTTTAAAATATCTAACACATTTGGAAAATTCAGCCATGCTGCCACACAAAGTATTTGTTTCAGCAATGTAGGCGCATCCTTTGCGAATCTCTATTTTAAACTGTCCAAGTTGATGGATTCCTTCTTCCAGACCCAATGCTGATATTGCATCAGTTACAAGTACAAGACCTTAATTTAAACATTTATATTTTAATCTTATTTAAATTGTAAGAACATATTATAAGATAAGCATATATAATATTCCAAGATGGCTGAGTATCTCGAAAAGTATACATTTTTGAGAACAATGTTTTACAAAGGTATTTTAGAGGTTGCAAAGTTTTGAAAAATAATTCTATATTGAATCGCAGATAAAATTGTTGAATTTTTGGACTTGTCCATCTTAAAATGTTCATCCTGCGTCAGTACCGAGATTATTAGTCTTTGACATGAGAAATTCAGACATGGTCAAACAAGAATTCGTTCCACGTCTTGATAAAAAAAATTAAAAAAGAAAATATCTATTTGCTGACAAATACTTTATTTTATTGCGTTCTTTCGCCAAAGAGCGAATTTTTATGAGATTGTCGAAAGAAAGGAATCGCGGAGTACAGAGGCCGTAACAATACGATTTCATTAAAAAAGAAAAAAAATAGCAAATATAAAAAGATATCAAGTCCAAAAATATTTCTTTTTTGGACCATACTTCTAAAACTCAAAAATCCAGTATGTCTCCAAGATCAATCCACCTCTCAAAAATCCTTTAAGACACGAAAATCCATAAAGACACGACATCAAATCCGCATTTTTTTATTTCGCTCCTCATCCTGAAAGCTGCTAGGGAACACTTCCAGTCCAATTTCGAAGTTAGAGTTTGTGCGCGATTTTTATACGTAATGCTGATACCAGTGCTGAAACCTGACAGTCATCTTCAGGGTCGCGAAATACATAACAACAGACAGTAGTAAGTCATCTTTATAATTTTCGTCTTATTGTAACTTAATGCGACGCTATCTTTCCGCGTTTCCTCGAAAAATCATCGAAAAACAATAAGCTCTTTTAAATGATTAGAGTCTGTTGCTTTTTCTCTCTCTTCCCATGATTTTCATCCCAGAGATAGCTGATTTTCTGCCATTCTCTATTAAAAGACATCCTAGCGAAATAGCTAATTATAGCAGTCTCGACTTTTCTGCTAAAAATATTCTAACGAGATAGTTAATTGACAGCAAATATGGGGAATATTTTTCTTATTTAGTTATATTATAATTATATTACTCATATAGTTAATTAAGAAAGATAATAATGTTATCTCATTATTTATTCATTCATTAAAAATGACTTAAAAATGACGATTAAATGACGATATATTTATGACAATAATATTTCGTGACAAATGTTACATTTATTTCACATCATTATTTAGTACACTGATGTCAAATGACGAGAAATGACCTTAAATCTTTATCATAATGACGTCTTGCTACTTGAGTATATATTAGATGTACAAAAAAGTTCTGAGCTTTTTTTGTAAAATTCAATCTTTATTCAAAAACAAACAAAAAAATATTAATTCGATTCAGCGAAATATGTTGCATCAACGTCTCCGTTTGCATCAACGATCTTTTGTCATCTTTCGGGTAGCTTGCGAATTCCTTGATAATAAAAGCTCACCGGCTTCGAAGCAATAAAGTCATCAATGCATTTTCGTATCTCTTCAAATCTCACGAAATGTGTATCAGCCAAATGATGCTGCAGCGACCGGAATAGGTAGTAATCGGAAGGCGCTATGTCTGGGCTATACGCCGCGTGCGGGAGAAGTTCCCAGCTTAACGCAAAGATATGATCCTCAGTTGCTTTCGCAACATGTGGTCGAGCATTGTCATGAAGCAAGATCACTTTACGACGTCCTTGGCCAGTAAATGGCCTCTTTTCTTCTAATGCATCGTTCAAATTGGTCAATTGTTGTTGGTAGCGGTCTGCCGTGATTGTTTCACCCGGTTGTAACAACTCGTAATACAACACATCTTTCCAATCCCACCAGATACAGAGCAAAACCTTCTTGGCATGGATATTGGGCTTTGGCATCGATGTCGAAGGTTGACCAGGGTCATGATTTTCTACGTTTAGAGTTATCATAAAGAATCCACTTTTCATTGCCTGTAATGATTTTGTGCAGAAAATTTTTTTTCCGGAACTTTGAAAGCAAAGTGAGTGCAGTGTCACGCCGACGATTTTTGTTGTCTTCGGACAATTCATGCGGAACCCATTTGCCTTCCTTCTGAACCTTTCCCATCGTATGTAAACGTACGGAAATGATTTGCTGCGTAACGCCAAGCTGTTCTGCAAGCTCCTTTATGTTTACATACGATTTATATCCAGCAGTGCTTGCAATTCGTCCGTTTCAATCTTTTGAGAGCGTCCAGCACACGGTTCATTTTCAAGACTGAAATCTCCTTGGCGAAATTTTTGATACCATCTTTTACATGTAGTATGACAGCATTCTCTCCATATGCAGCACAAATCATTGCAATGGCTTCAGCAGCATTTTTTCTTTAATTGAAACGCGAAGTGGATGGAAAATAGATATGCTCTTTTGTTATTGCCATCGTGAACACTACTGATTTTTGAGGTTATGTGCATCAAACGCCAAACCGTATAGCATTTTAGAAGGCCAAATGTCAATGCTTTAAAACCGCAAAAGGGCGGGAAGATATATAAAATTTAAATTGTTATTTCGGTTGTATGAAATCTAAAGCTCAGAACTTTTTTGTACACCTAATACATAATTAGATATAATTATATATTTTTAAATACAATTAGATTAAGTTTTAATGGGTCTATTTTTGTAGTAAATATGAAAACCTAATATATTTTTATATTTATTTATAATACTTGTATTTATATGAACAATCTCATATAAAATATTAAGTTTTTCATAAAATAAACGAAGTAAATTAGTGTAAGTAAGTAATTATATTAAACTTAAAATTTTCCTTAAAATTTTCTTTTCAAATATAAAGGATTCTTTATCCTTTATATTTGATTGAAATTATGTGTTCGTAAATTGTGTATATTCGTATATATGTATGTACGTATAAATCGTATAATATCAACTAAATTCATAATATTTCGGAAATGTCTCTCATTTAGATGTTATTATTTATATCTAGTTTGAAAGTCTCATATATTATGTATAAATTTTTACATAATTTAATGTATATCTTTCTATTTGAAAAAGAAATATAATTTTGTATAATTCAATTTGAAGTTGTAAGCATTTGGATATAATTATGTCTAATTAGATATAAACTTTTTCTTCGAAAAAAATTTCAATATAATGTTGTACGTCCGCTGTTACGTCCGTTGTTACGGAGACTGACGTTCTCACTTATCGCACTCACACTCACTCGCGATTCGCTAGGAAACCGCGCTCAGCAATGAACATCGTTTAAAGCCCCCTGAGCGACTACTTAGCGAAGAACTCCGCATTGATGATAGCGACATATGTCGCGGTGAAAAATAGAAGCTCATCCTTGTTCATCTTATCCTTGTTCTTGTCTCATCTTTATACAAATGACATGCGGACAATGAAATTTTTTATAACGATTTTATAACGAACTATTTTCGTTATTGTGTGCTTAATCGTGCAAATATGACTTGTTTCGTACTTACCAGAGTCATAATAGGCGGCAATTAAAATTATCGTTGGACATTATATGTAAAAGCATTTTTTCCACTTCTTTCAACAGCTGTCAAATCATGTATTTCCTGCCTGAACAACCTTCATTTCACGTGCCTTTTACAGCTATTTATTGACTATCAGGAAGGAAAAGGATAGCAGCCGCCCATTTTCACAAGTATCTTAAAGCCATATGAGGTATTATTTTAATCAAATATCTCTTTATTTGCAAAATTACCGTCATAAACTTTATTATGTCATTTCTCGCCTATGATGTCACGATTCTAATATGGCCGCGATGACTAGTCAGGAGCCTTAATAAAAGTAGGTTTTATTCAAACCAATCTACAATAATAATTCGGTGTATACACGTCCGTACGCCACGAGTCACCGCGCCGTTCACCACGTAAACAAAACAACCGTTGCCCCGGAGAGCGCTTCGTTTCTACTCCAAAAGGCGGCTCGACTCCACTCGGATGCAGAAGCTCGCGCGAGCATAACAATAATTTTACATAGAATTATTAATATTTTGATATAATTACATGTAATTAGATATATAGATATATAGATATAAAGATATAAAGATATATAGATATAAAGTTTTTACCCGAAAAAAATTTCAATATAATTTCATATAATCTAACATGGAGTTATAAATATTTTGATATAATTACATATAATTAAATCTTAACATTTTATCCGAAAAGAATTTCAATATAATTTTATATGAAATTATAAAATGGAATTATATTTTGATATAATTGCATATAATTTGTAATATTAATAGATCTCATTATATATAATTATATATAATTATATCTGATATGATATAATTATATGTAATCAAATATAAATTTTTTTCCCAAATAGCTTACAAAAAAATGAAATCTTAAATCCTCTGCCATACGTTCTGAATAATATTAAACAAAACATACAATAACTGATTAACCAGGCGCGCCGCGGTACTGAGTGCACATCCTCCCTTATTCGGAGACTCGAGCCATGCTTGATGCAATCTCTCCTATCGTGCTCCAGGAGGATTATTTATATATTTGCCAATGCATTGGAGAGTGTCGCCGCTGCAGTCCGACCTGCATCCATCGAGAGAATAGAACCATCATCTCTCTGGAGTACCGGTCGTGGGGATTCGAGAGAATACATGTATATATGTATATTGTAATATACATATATGTGTATTGTTAACGTGTTATTCTAAACACGTTAGTTGCGATAAATATCACATGCCTCGAGCTAGTCGAAGGGATAAGATGCCTGCCCGGCAGGAGATCCAGGTTCGATTCCTGGTTGAGGTGGTATTTTTTCGCAAAATAATTATGAGTGGTTTGTGGTCGGGCCCCGCCGTGACGCACCCCCTTTCTTATTTGGGATTATCCTAAATTGATAGGTATTCTGTAAATACTTGGAGTTATGGAAGAAGATAACATATACAAGAAGAAATAGTTGATTTTAGTTAATTTTATTTTATTTTTTCTTATTTTAGTTGATTTTA